CGACTCCTACTAGCTTAGCTAACTGATTAAAATGTTTTTTGCCTACTGTTGCCCTTATTACGATTTATTCACATTTCCTTTTGCTATTGCTTTTTCCTTGTTCAGGTTCCAATTGTATTGGTTGGATCCAAGTCGGATCTGCATAGGAAACGTCGTGTTACAGCATTCGAAGGGCAGACTCTGGCTAGGCACATGAGCTGCCCTTTCATCGAGATCTCAGCAAGGAACAATGATTGTGTCAATGAGGTGAGCCATGAAAATCTTCATTTCCCAATTTGCTAATACTGTCAAAAATAAAAAGAATGGAGAATCATGAACCTATGGGGATGGAATTATTCAGAACTGTCTGGTAGAATCCCTCATATGTTTAAGGTCACGAGGGAATCTTCCCTTGTATTTGATGTTCTGTTCCAAACTTTCATTCGCGGAGGATTCTGACAGAGAACGTTTTTATGAGCTAGGGCTACTTTATCCGCATCCTACTGGAAAACTTTTCTCAGATTGAATTTTCTGAACGTTACCGGAAGCAGTTGCGAGCCATGGTTTCACCCAGCTGAATAGGGCACGGGGGCAAGAGCTTAGTGACAGATGCAGAGAATGTCGCATCTTTTTACACCGTTGAAAAGAGTTTCTTGAAATTCAACTTAATTTTAGGCATTCCTGGAGCTCATGAGAATTGTCGAGCGGCGTCGGCTGATGTTCTGTACATAAATATTATTGTTATATTTATATATTGTCATATTGTGGTGTAATAACCGAATAGTTTAGTTTTGTCACCCATCTGAACTCTTTGTACAGATAGCAATTACTTTTATAATATGTAATATGTTCACTTGATCATTTTCGACCCATAATTCGTATATGTGGTTATTTTTTGTCTACACTAGAATATCGTGATATCATCATAATGATTTTGTTTAACACCTGTGACTATTTTGCAGATGCTACTATGAAGTGAAGTGAATTTGGAAATGTCAGACATTTTGCTATTGAGAAGCGAATCTGATGTCTCGTTTCTTCATTTTTCCCATTCAAATGCAAAAGTAATTTGCAAAATGAAAAAGATTATACAAATGGCACGTTTGCTCTATGGGATGAGTCAAAGAGGCTAACTTTCCGATTCTGGTTCAGTCTTTGCAATAGTCATGTATTTTCTAATTAATTTTCTTTTCTATGGAGTAAATACCGCTTCTCGTTCACTACCCTGGACTACTACTTGAACTCAATGTCTCGATAATGTCCGTGGGAGCGATCGAGTCTGCAGGGTAAGCCAGGCGTTTCATCTCTTCTATTTGAACATTGAGAATTTTGCGCATTCTACCCGTTCTCGGGATGGCAGAGTTATATAAATAACCTCAATGCTGAATCCTTTGCACGATGTTCATATCAAGAAATTACTTAAAGTTAGCTCCTCGCCAGACATCTTTCTTGGGATGATGAAAAATCAGCTCTACAAGGTGTCTTTCGTTGAACCTCTCTTTTTACGCCTCCATGTCCTCGCTTTCGAGGAGCTGCAGGCAAAGGATAAGACTTTCAAGCAACTAAAAACTGCGGTTTGGGATGCGCCACGGTTTCGACTTCACTCAAAATCGTAGTGGCATTTTTGAAGGTATGGTGAGGGATTAAAGTAATGGTGCTCATAGAAACGTCATAGAGCGATTTGAAGGGTACAACTGCAAATTCCATGGATCTCACCTTAGAAAGGGATCGAGGATGGTTCTGTTTTCTTAACGGGTCACTTTTATTATCTAGAAGTCACATAAAATCTCTGTGTACATTCCCAAGTCTTTTATGGCTCTAAACACACTGGACTTATAGTACCCGCCATGACTCCGCGTGCAGTTTTATGTGGTTCGCTATGCGTGAAGTGAAAATCGCCGTCTACATTGACCCAGTTACTAAATAGCTTATAAAAGTGACCGTTCCTCAAAGTGCTCTTATACTATTCCTTCTGAACATTCCTTTGAATTTCTCTATAAGACCGATCTTCAAAATGTGCCATGCATTTGCCCATACTTTCAATACTTTCAATAATGATCGGAGGTACTCGTAATTTGTTGCCATCTTCGGAGCAGCTTTAATAGAGATTTCTCATTACCTCACCATCAAAAAAAAAAGACAGATAGCTGGTTCTAGTAGCCAACGATTGCTTATAGATGCGGTAGAGAGCTTGACCCAAACAAAACCTCCAAAATAAATACCTCTTTCATTTTAAATCGAGCGTTCATGGTTTTCTGAGTAATATGAAAGTAAGTCAATTCTGGGTGATAGAGGGAAATAAAATGACGAAGAACGAAGCTTCTGGCATTGATCAGCCCCGTTTTGCATGCCCAACGCTTCCGGCTCCAACTTTGAATCGTAGGAACACATGAATGCATAGTGAGTCTATGCAAAGACATGTATCTTCCCAATCGAGTTTAGCATCAATGACAGAGGACGATCTTTCGAAAATGTGTGTGTAAAATGTATAATATTAATCAATTTGTTACACTCTTGACTACGGGAGAGGTAGAGCATTCGTAAAGGGGCTTCTGAGGTGACATCGAGTCTAAAAAATCACTACGATCCTTGTGACTTCAGTCACGAGCTCATACTAATCTTAAAAGGTTGTCTTGATCTGCTCCTCCTCTATAAGCCAGATTGTGCTGGTTCTCTCCTGTTTGTGACAATATCAGAATTCTGCTGCTTTGTCAGTAAAAATCTTATGGGCGAATGTCAAAGATCCATTCCCATTCATGCCAGCCGAGTGCCGCCTATCAATCCGGGTACTACACTTTTTGGGAGGATGTCTGGGAGTACTGAGTTTGATATCAACTAAACATTGCAAGCCATTCCACAGGTCAAATAAGCTTCAAAAACGCTACTAACATTCTGAATAGAAGTCGAAAGCATGGCGCATGCTGAGCCAAGATTGATCAACACCAAAAGACTTCATCCTTGGCCTTTTGGGCCTTTTATCGGAAGCTTCTTTAAGGTAATATACGTTCTAGTAAATTTAGTACAGTCGTCATAAGACAACTGAATGCTCATTCTTCACTTTATGACTAATAAAATTAATCTTAACTCAATTTGAAAAAACGGAATCAACCAGCCCACGTTCATAGTTCAGAGACAAGTGTTCTTTTCTAGGGGGCAGTCAGGCTTTATTCTTTCGTGTTCAGTATTTCTTTGTCTGACATCTGCCACAAATCTCTTTGTCTCTGGTAAAGAATATTGATAACTACTAGGTAAATAAAATGATTCGTCCTGTCAACGTCCCTTCCTGAAGAAACAATGAATAGAGGCAGATGATTTGTACGAACACGTGCTAAAGGGCGATAAGAGCTGACGCAATGTTTGCTTTGGGAGGGTTTTTTCATTTTTTTCTTGCCCGAGTCATCACATTTATTCCTCTACTTCTGACCCTCGATAGGGTGGGTGAGCGGCTTAAGGTGATAAGATCCACAGATCGTGTTCCTTTCCTTCACACATTTTCATTGGCTTAGTCCATATCTGACAAAGGTTGATCAATGAAAATACACTGAATCCAAAAGAAAGTGCAAGTTTTGTGGTAAAAAATGATGAATCAATCCATCAATCAATTAATCAATAGGAGGTCTGCTATTCATCAGCAAGCGCTCCGCTGGTAATTTTTATAGTTTTTCGTTTAGGAAATTTTGTTTCAAATTTTTGACGTCAAACAACCTATTTCCGGATACGCTCACGTATTCACTATCTAGCGAAATTTGTGAGGGCTTCAATTTTGTATTCCCTCTATCAATATACACTTGCTATTATTACTTCACTACTATTATTACTGACTTGTTATCAGTATTAGTGTTAATATTAATTCTGTAATAATAAGTGTTGTTATTGATCAGTCCTTATTATAACTATTATTATTGATTGGCATTTTTTATTGCTACTAAAGAATGAAAGGATAAAGTCTGTGGGCGTTAGTCAATTTCGTCTGAAGGATGCGCCGTGCATTTAACTCCATTCAGAATCGTAGTGGTGCATTGAATGCATATGTGGCCTATACAATGACTTACGGTAGCTAACCAGTGCTTTTATCACCCGAACGATTCCCGTTCCAATTATCCGGCCCCAAAGGGATGAAGGTCTTGGTGTGTGTTCAAACGGATGTCGATCCGGGACTCAAACCCGTGACCATGCGTCTGTGATTGCGCCACTTGCCACTACACCGCCTTTACCATTACTGTTATAATACTTATTATTGGGTACTCGGATTTTACAGAATTCCGCAAGGCCCAACTGATGCACAATTGAGCAGGTAGTTCGTGCCAGTGGATGCTAGTTTCAACTAAAATTCAAGCTGGTGCTTCTCACAAGTCATGAAGATGAATGAAGGGAGTGCAGCTCCATGAACCGTTATCATCAGTATGGTGCTTTAGCCAAATCGCTTTTATAAAAAGAACGAAGTCTTGAATATTCTGCAATTCGTAATTACTAGTTTCTTTATGCTTTTTCTTATAAGATGGATTCTAACTTGTGAGGTGGCTAGTAAAAATCTCACAGGAGAGAGCAGAAACGTCAAAGCCTTTTTTTGGCCTGCCTGCTTCCGGGATGCACCTTACACTCTATTTCCTCTAGCGGTTACTTGGTTTCTCTTGCTGCCCTAGTAAAAATAAACCAACTAGTAAGGCTTGTGTACATCTTTTTGTACTATTGTCTTTATAAGAACTTTTAAATACCATGAAATGTGAGTGAAAGGGTTGAGTGATACAATTGACAAAAGCTCTTCTTCTTTACGCTTCTTAAATTGCTTCTTTTTGGTCTTTAACTACTGCTCCACACACATCCTAACACTTCTTATCATCGTATACCACTCATTTTGGAGAAATCTGAGTTTTCCAGATGAAACATCGTTATCTGCCGTGTGGGATACTAGCTGGTCTATCTGGAATAATTACTGTCGTGTCAACTACTGCATTACTTTTGAGCTATATTGCATCTATCGAAAATGAAATGAATCTAGAATTAAATCAAATCAAGGCAAGTAGTTCATCAATATCAGTTGACTAAGGCGTTACCTGACCTTTTTAGGTGATTTATGACAATAAAATTGAAACCAAAAAGATCCCCATTTCAGGACGAAACGGATTACCTTTGGAAGGAGATGAATCTGTTGTCAGAATCGTCCCATTTGTCGAACAGGGTGAGGAGGCAATTGCGGCAGGAAGTTGAGTACGGACTGATACCAGAAGAGTCGATACGCGATGCTGGAGAATATCCTTCTGAAGAAGGAAGCGATGTTGAATACTATCCTCCACCACAGCTCCCTCCGCCGGATAATTCCTGTGGTAAGGATTTCAGTGGAGTTTCATACAGGCATTCATGAAGTTAAACCATTAAATGTAACTTAGTCGATGCGAGTAAACAAGCAAAAAAATATTTATTTATGCCAGTACCTATTTATAAATAGATCCAAGCAACTATCCTGTGTGAAGAGTATTCATCGTATTTGAGCAATTCGGTTCAGTTTTTAAAAGCATTAATTCAAATTTACTTGTAAGTAGGGCAAACTCCATTGCCAAATATTATTTTCTCGTGCAACATAATGATCTTTATGTTTGAGTTTGTCTCGCTGAAAATTCCTGTCCTCCCGGACCACCTGGACCGCCTGGAGAAGAAGGTCCTGATGGAAAGGATGGTATCGATGGTGTCGATGGTTACAACGGTTTTGACGCTCATCCAAGTGAACCTTCGGTTGGTTTCTCAACAAATATCTCTGTACCCACGTCCAATTGAAACACTTTTTCCTAGAAACTCTCGAAAGGATGCTACTACTGTCCACCAGGTGAACCTGGACCTCGTGGTGCTGATGGTGCAAAGGGTAAGGAGTAATAACTGTAGTAAATAAATAGTAAACTGCCTAGATGTTGCTTCGAAAATCCACTGTCTGCAGGCAAACGTGGTCAACGCGGTCCTCCAGGGCGACCAGGTCGTCCGGGAACCAATGGTGCACGAGGCTATCCAGGGGATATGGGAGCGTTCGGTCCACCCGGTCCTGACGGAGAAGCAGGAAGACCTGGACCGAATGGGCTCGATGGTGTAGTCTATCAAGAACGCGCGGGTGTCAAAGTACGAGGTAGGTCTCAGCCTTTGAGCAATATAATAAATGCTGCATTCAGGGTCTCACAGGTTTACCCGGACTGGCAGGTCCACCTGGTTTACGAGGTAAGCCAGGATCTCCTGGCCCACCTGGTGCCCCTGGTTATCCTGGATTGGCTGGAGTTGCAATCATGGATGGTCCTCCTGGTTTGCCAGGACCAATTGGACCACCTGGACGACCAGGAGAGGATGCTCATGTGAGTATATTACTTGTAAAACCTAGCAACATCGGAAATCTATTTACACCTGGATAGGTAAGGATACCTTTATGACTGAAATGAAAAAAATCTCATTCTCATTAACAGTTCACTGTAGTTTTGAGATAACTAGTATGAGTGAAATGATGGAAGTTATGACGCCAAACTAGAGAAAATTGTCGAAGAAATCGCGTCAAGAAAGAATTTTAAGAAAAAAAGGAAAAAATAAAAAAAGGGTTGTAGGAGATTACGACGACGGAAGTGACATGGATGAGTGATAGTTGGTGCCATTGCATGGGGCCAAGCCAAAAATTCCGAAAATAGTCTCCACTGACTGAATAGTTGATTGAAGTTGAAGCATATATACTTCATTAGGAACAGTGCGGCCTCTCCAAGACCTCTGAAACACGGCCCCTTCCGGAGGTTCAATACATAGGGTACAATCGGGGGACGGGCATTACGTGCGTCCGAGCACGCGCGCGGCAACTTGCGCGACGAGGTTCGTGACAATTTGTTCGACTCTAACGCCATTTTTCGAGGCACAAACTCAAAATAGAATAGTTTNGTAGGACTAAATGATCCTTCTGATCTAGTCTACTTCAAATTTAGGCCCCAATGATAGGCGCTAAAGTCGTTCTAATCGTTACGAACTTCGCCGCGCAATTTGCCGCGCGCGCCCTCGGACGCGCGTAGTGTCACATACCCGGTACGAGCCTCTATTACGCCCTAGCTAGGCCATTTTTCGATCGGACAGCGCTGCATATGCATGCGTGGGGGCTGCAGATTCATCCTGGAGGATATCTAGGGAACTTTTTCCATCGTTAACTGAACCTGTGACTTGAGTAAAAGTGTGTGAGTGAATTGATTCGGTGGTGGGTGGCGTGATTCGCCAGAAATCTGAAGAATCCAAAATTCTAGTGTCTATTTTCAGTATTGTGAGTGCTCTCCAAGGTCATCTGCGGTCGAAATCGAGTCATCAGGAATCGGACCTTATTAAAATTTTAAGTTGGAATTCAGTAACATTCTTTTGTATCTGTAACTACGAAGCACTTCTTTTTTACATCCCTCAAATAGAATAATTGTTCAAATTTTACTATCTCCTTTGGATGCCGCCTAATTTGTAGGTTCGTTAAAAAGCTCACTAGGTCCAGAATCGGGACCCTAGGCCGCAGAAGTCTCCCATACTTTCGCAGTAGATTACTTGTTCCCCTACTTATTTGGCAGAATCAAATCATTAGTTTGTTCATTAACTGAGCTTCGTAAGTCATTGTATAGGCCAAACGCATCCAGTCTTCGCTGCAAAACTGAATGAATTCCCATACATGGCGCGTCCTCAGCCAAAACCTGTCAAAGCGAGGGTTATGGGTCTGCTCGGGCATTGATCAGCAATGGAAGAGTTCACAAGAGCATCATAACTTTATCTTGAAATGCCGCTGTACTTATATTTGCTGGGTACAGTTTTACAAAAACATGGAGTCGATTTTACTTCTGGATCGATTCCATGTTTTTGCGGTAGGGCTATTGGCTACTCAGATTGACGACTATCAATCTGAGTAGCCAATAACCTTACCGCTTTTTTCATCTGCATAGGCTTCGTACCTGCCGCAAGTGGTCACGGTCAGGCTCGACATCACCACCTCTAGTAATACCTCCAGTGTTTGGCCTTGAAACCTGATTCTTTAACATTTTGTATATGATCATTCTCAAGAAAGTTTTGCCAAAATGGCTTCGAGATTTCACATAGCAACAACACACTTGCTTTCTTTCTTAGCTTATTGTTTGGTGAGCTCTGAACTTCAAACTGCCCTTCTAATTAAAACCCACTTTTTATAATGATTGCGAATTTTGGGCAATACGCTCACTCCAGAACGGGACGCGAACCCGATTTCTGAACCATGTATTGCGGTAGTAAACACTGATCAAAAGTAGCAACTGAAGTGTATCAACTAGAAACATTACAGTTTCTTTTTTTTTATTTTCTTTTAATAAACGTAGATGGTTGATATACCTATAGCGATGTAAAAGTAAAAGAAGAAGTCTATTTCTTACCAGTTGGGCAATGCATACTTATGCATGCATTCTATGTCCTCGACCGCCCATAGGCTTAAAACTTCTGCAGGTACTTTATCAGGTGATATCGAATTTCCGTACAAACAGACAGACGGACAGACAGACGCGAGCGCTTTATATATAGTAAGGATAATCCCGATAGCTGCTCTCCTGGAAAACTTTTCATCAAAACACAAGTAAATTGTTCTGTTCTGAGAAACCACTATGGTTTTTATGGAGAATCCATGGCGTTTGTTCTCTGTTACCGAATTCCTAGAATTTTTTTTGGTTCGGGATCTACTGGGGATTTGAAAAATCGTACGAGCAATCAAAGGGGAATTTATTGGATAATTTTGGCTTCAGCTGCCAACTGAAAGTTGTTCGTTGTGACTGTAACGATTTCCGATTTCCGAGCATCACATTTTCTCGACGTACTTTTACTGCTTAAATTCGGTATTTTGTCTAAATCCCGGTTAAATTTATCTCATTTAATTTATTTATATGTTTAGCTGGAATGTCATGCAATAGTACAATATGATTTTCTTTTGTTTGTTCTGTATTTTTTAAAATTTCTTATCGCTCTCTGTATAATAAATATTTGTAGAATGTTTGTTTTATGTTCACCTCTATCGGCGTCAATATAATGAGTGGTAGGCGGACAATATTTGGCGTAATACAAAAAATCCGGTTATGTCTGCTGATAAAATGAGGATTCGGCCTTGATGGACCTTGTCTTGTGTAGCGATTGAATTCCTCGAATTCCGGTCTGTCCTAAACATCGAAAAACATGAAATCCTTGGCGTCAATCAATCCTGTTCGGGGATGCGCCCCGCATTCGACTTCCATTCAGAATGCTACTGGTGTTCGAAGAGTGGCTTGCGGATCACAGTTCAGGGTATATATAGCTTATCCAATGGTGAATTTATGAATAATTTATGAGAGGATTCATTTTCCACCAATTGAAACAAGCAAATAAAACAGGTTTGAGAATTTTTTCTCCATTTGAAAAAAAAACCAAAACAAAAACCGGAAATAAGTGACAGAGTTTCAGGTGTTATGTAGTCCATAATGGACTTTGCCCAAGTCAATCTTCAGTAACTAGTAAATATCCCTCTACCTGGCACAGCACAAGGACTTCGCCACCATCTACTATGAGATCACCTTGTATTATATTACCTAAGAGCCCCATATCAATGAGCAGTACGTTTCGGCGCCAGCTGTTCGTACTGCAAGTGAACAAGACCCTTTTTGTAAATC